AGGTGAATTTAAAGCACTCATCTGAGAGATTCTCCTGGGTATTTTATGGTTACGGCCATAGTTGAAAAATCCTTTCAATGTTTTTGTTACTCCTAGTAAATATGGGTTCTGTAGGTTTTAACCACAGTGTTTGTGTTTCTTCTCTCACAGAGGGTGGTGGTGTCTGCGGTAAAGTCGTCAGCACAGCTCAGCACCAAACAGCTGATAGAGCTGCTTTTCTCCACCCAGGCCATCAAGCACTGTAAGACCACCCCAACTCTGCAGCATGGCTTCTTGGTGCAGGTAAAGCAAGACATCAAACACTACTATGTTTTGTCAGAGAGGGAAATTAAAGAGCTTTTTCTGCCAGTGCAGCAATCACTGCTGGATCAGATCACTTTGAAATGTAATTAGTTACTTAATACTAATTGCAGGGCACAATTTGTAATGGGTAAAATAATCCATTGGTTTGCTGTACAGACAATACAGAAATATTGCACTGAGTTTCTGATTGAAAAAAGTGTGACATCACAATTTTAATTGAAGTTTAAGCTCATATGAAGCAGATAGTAAAAGGAAATGCAATAAAAAGCTATAATGCTGTTTTCCATTGTGTTCACAGGTAATGAGGTATGTGGAGCAGAGACTCCCGACGCTGAATGAATACTGTGTTGTCTGTGATGAGCGACATGTGCTACAGAACGGCCCTTTGTTACAGGTACACTCACACAATAAGCTGAAGATGTAGTGGCCTATCTGCTGATTAAGAAAAAACGGTTGAAACTCAATTGGTTTTTACCTTTTATGTGTTTTTAGCCAGCCGTTTGCACCAGAGAGCTCTGTGTTTTTTCCTTTTATACATTTGGGGTTATGTCTGGAGCTACAGAGGATGTTGCCACTGGTGCAGAGGTAGGTGAAACAAACATACACACATAGGTCGTTTCATAGGTAGTTTTATAGTTAGTTTGGGCTATCATAATGTAAGATTGATGCATTGCAGTAATGGCTGATCTACAGGTGGTTGACCTGCTGGTGGCCATGTGCAGAGCCGCCCTTCAGTCTTCACGCAAGACCATCGTATTTGAACCGTACCCTTCTGTGGTTGATCCCTGCAACCCACAAACCCTGGCCTTTAATCCTAAGGTGTCAGCTAAATTTATCTCATGATATATATATGTTTTATTACCGTACTTACTTGATTTATAATTATTGAGTCTGACATTGCTTTTATTCTGAAGGAATAATGTTTTGTCATTGCAGAGAAAGAGCTACGACAGGCTGCAAAAAGCGTTGGATAATGTCTTGTTAATCAGGAGGATGTCACAGGTGACTGACCTTAAAATAAATCCAACACTTATCACCCAATCTTTTAAATTCATATGGGGTTCAAGGCCTCTCAGAATAATCTGAAAGCTGGTGAATGGTTCTTTGACAGTTGCATTAATACAAAAGGATATTTTATCCTATCCAGGGTCCATATTCTGAAATAAAGAAGCAGATGGACATGATAGACCCTCTCGCTCATCCCTTACTACAATGGTGAGTGACACAAGCTAAACATACTTGTATTCTGTTTCATTAATGTGAGATGTAGTCAAATCCAAATGTTTCTTATATCCATACCAATGTGTTTTGTTTGACAACAGGATTTTAGCAAGCAACACATCACACATTGTCAAGCTCCCGCTGGACAGGGTAACATAGAGCAGCTCACAGTTAGACAATGACATCTACCCACAATGACAGTTAGCCAAAAATGACATGGTATATTGTTTTTATAATTTGTGTAAATTTTAATTGTAAGCTTTCCTGTTTGTGCACAATAGCAACTTAAGTTCATGCACACACCCCATCAGTTCATGTTGGTCAGCAGCCCTCCGTCTAAAGAGGCTCGCTTTCAAACAGCCAGGGAACTTTATGGAAGCACCTTTGCTTTTCAGTGAGTAAATACAAAGCTGTGCCACTAATATCAAACCTTCATATCCACTGCACATACATAATGTGATCCCTGCTCCATTCGCTTACTGTAGATGCTATTTTCTCTTCTTGCAGTGGTTCCCACATTGAAAACTGGCACTCGATTTTGAGAAAGGGGCTGATTAATGCCTCTTATACAAAATTACAGGTAGAGTATCAACATATAAATCCTTATTCGATTATCTTTTGAGAGTAAAGAGTTAAATCTATAAAACCACACGGATTTGAACTTAAGTCACATTGTTTCTTATTCAAGCTTCATGGAGCTGCATATGGGAAAGGCATCTATCTGAGTCCTATCTCGAGCATATCATTTGGGTATTCTGGTATGAATGCACACTTTCGTACTGTTTTTAAATAATACTTTGCAAACCAAATTACATTTTGTACAAAAATGACCATCATCTTTTGATTTTAGCATGTTTCTTTAAAACTGACCCTTCTTCTTTGTACAGAGATGGGTAAAGGGCGACACCAAATGGACACCAAAGAAGAACTCATAAAGAAATGCAACCAAATAAACAGAATCAATCAGGTACAGTCATGTTTGTCCAAAAGGTGACCGGTTGCATGGATATCTTCTTATTTGTTTGTATTTACTGTGTTTATTTTGTCTTTCCTTGTATTAGGAACCACTGGGTCAAGGCAGGTTTCTGCAAAGCAGGAATCTAAACTGCATTGCTCTCTGTGAAGGTACATTTCAGATCATAACCTTGATTTGATTATTGTGGGAATTATTTTGGGACAGTTGTTTTGTAAATGTTGTCTGCATGTCTTGCCAGTCATAACTTCCAAGGACCTTCAAAAACATGGGAACATTTGGGTTTGTCCGATCCCCGACCATGTGTGCACACGCTTCCTCTTTGTGTGAGTCTTGCAGTAGAAACAGAAATACCTTCACATCCTATCGGCCTCCCAGAGTTATGATTCATTTCAAAGGATATTGCAGGTTTGCACAACATTCTGCTTTTGTCTGTTTCAGATATGAGAACGGTCAGGTGGGAGATGTTCACGTCGACACCGAGGAGGACAAGACCCACAGGGACATTTTACAAGTAATTGCTTCAAAGCTGTGCTGAGAAAACAAATGCTTTATCATAAGAGTGCAGACTTCATATTTATTTATTTTTCACACTGACTGAAATAGTTTTTGCTTTCTTTGATTGTCTGCTTTTATTTAAATGAAAAACGCTAACTCAAAGTAAAGAAAAAAACAGCACAAAGGTGAAGAGCTCTCTTTTATTTACTGCAATAATTCGAGATGAAATGGGTGTGTTGTTTCAGGCACCTGTAAAGATTTGTTTGCCTTACATCTCATTTTGTCTTATCTGAAACACGCAAATAGTCTTGTGTAAATATGTATTATAAATATGTAAAGATATGTCATAAATATGTGTTATACGTTTGTACTGTAAACACATATTTTGTACCTTTTTATAACCACACATTTTTCAATTAAACATAATTTTCTTCTTTCAAATTATCTAATGTTTTCATTTTAATGTAATGTTTGAAGAGCCACAAAAACAGATATGTGTAATATCTGTTTTGTACCACAAGATGGAAGTGTTACAATAACAGCTGCTGAGGGCTTTACTTCACAAAGCCAACGAAATCTCATAATGTCATGTTATAGCAGCTCTTAATGTCTTTAAGTAGAGACTGCTACACTTTTTTAAATTAGAATAGTTTAAATTAGATCTTATTGTGAGAACATTAAAACATGAGCCTGTGTAGTATTCTACCTCAGGGAAAAGAACACTGCATAACTACTTAACACGACAGATGTGTCACAGGATTCACACACACGACAGAAAGTCTCAAACTAGAAAAAGGATTTGGGATTTTTGTGGCACATGCAGTGACTAAACCACAGACATTATCAGAGTGGTTTTTTACCACTATAATTGTCATAATGAGAAATCACTGATGGACAGTTAACATGCATTAAATTGACATTCATGGCCAGTGGGTTACTCTCATGGAACCAATAGCATTTTGTTCTGGGATATATCAACACCACCGTGAACCACATCTTTGTGCTCACTGTGAGAGTCAGTGAATATTATGGGGTGCATACCATCGTGTGAGGCAGAATGCACCATTATAACAGTGTACTGGTTCCACATGAGCCCCACAGCTGCCTCCCTGGGCTCTGCTCCTGCAGAGAAAGCGTCTTGGAAAATTCATCTGTTTGCATCTGGATACAGATCTTTTCTTTCAAGTTCTGGTTTTGTGCAAATTTGGCAAACAAATAAATGGGCACGCTGCGAGGTACAATTGTCCTCATGAATGTCAGGAGGTAGCACACACTTTCTGGGTCAGGCCAGCAGGCGATGGAGGAGAACTGAAGTTGCTGTAATAGCCCAAAGGAAGAGATTTCTGAAGGACCATATGGCTCTGATGATAGTGCAAAGGGAACGCTGCCTTGAAAACCATGATATGTTGCCATAGTTGTTATTTTATTTCTCAATATCTTTACCAAAGTGAGACTGGTGCAATATCGGCAAAAAGCCACATTAAAAACATTGACAATCGAAACCAAATCAGTTGAAACAGAGGATTGTTTCAACTGCACGCCTTGTTTAATCTAATTAACTCATGTTTATTCATCCATGTAATTCAAGCATCCACATGGACAAATAAAGGGTTCAACAAAAGCTTCCTTCAAATACCAACAACTACATTGTGACAGATACTATTAAATGATGTGTGTGCCTTTAAGAGCCCTATGTCCCACTCTACATGTCTCTCTCTGAGCCTCATATGTTTGTTGGCATCAGCTGTCCTCAGTGCTGAAAAGAGCAAGGACATAATTTCCTTCACTTCAATGGGATTAGAGGAAGAAATACCCTCTTCACACTGCTGGCTGTCATCGCATTGCTCAGAAGACAAAGAGGAGGAGATGCTGTATGGACAGAGGACAGAAAGAAGAACAGGAGAAGACTGAAGTTTGGATTACAAGGCTGACCAGTTTAACATTTCTGATGCAAAATGGACAGAAAACATGTTTCTGACCTTAGGGGAGGTATGCAGCTAATCTGAGGCTGCAGGCTCAGAAACAGCATTCTGATCTGTTATTTAACTGCTTTTTAAACCATGAGTGAACCCAGAGGTCAGATGCAGACTTCAAATGCTGCAAGCAGCTCCTTAATGGAACAACAGTCTGCTTCACCCGACCCTGATGTCCCACCTTCATCTTCGTCTTCAAAGCTTGGCCAGAGCAACTTCAGGAGAGTCAGCCGCACAGAGGACAGCAGTCCATATCCGATCCCTGGCCTAGCAGCTGACATCCTGCACATGCGAGTGAAAGAAGGAAGCAAGATCCGTAATTTACTGCGGTTTGCAACAGCTCGCATGGAAGGGGAAGGGGAAGGGAAAGACAGCAATGGGACATCGCTGAGACAGGTGGTCTTCACTGGCTCAGGAAGAGGAGTCACCAAGACCATCAATTGTGTGGAGATTCTGAAACGAAAAGTTGGAGAACTCCACCAGGTGTCAAAGCTCTACTACAAGACGGTGAATGAGGTCTGGGAGAGTCCCCAGCAGGGAGCCCCAGGTATAACCATGCAGAGGACTGTCCCTGCCATCTGTATCCTGCTCTCTAAAGACCCTCTGGATCCCCAGGAGCCTGGATACCAACCCCCCCAAACCAAGAGTGTCCCCACAGAGGATGCAGAGAGACGCAGAGGTCTGATCAGGCCGGCTCACAGTCCCTCCTCACAGCACACAGCCAAGAGAGTCTGTCTGGGTGACTGAGTGTAGGTCCCTCGTGAACGTCTGTCAAGTCCAACTTATACAGAGGAGCAACGGAAAGCATCCTAACTGGAAACATGCAAAGAGGAAAAGTACATCCATCCACTGAGCATCAGTGATATTGGTATGACAGTGTGCCGGCAAGTGGCCTAAAAGCCTGTTCACCTGATACAAAAATATCCTCTGAGGAGCCACCTGACTACAGAGCAGCTTCTTTTCTCAGGCTGTATGGCTCTCAATCATAAAAACATTTCTGTGTTTTTCTTATGTAGTATAACAGGAATACAAATGGATTACCTTGTATGGTACCGTACATTGACAATAAATTAAGATTTACCAAATGGACAAACTGTATTTTGTACTTTTAAATTGTTCTTTAAACCTAAATGTTTAACTACAGCCTGTGGAATATCTTTGCCTATAATATGAAATAATCATATTATATTATAATACTATAATATTTTTCATCCAGATGATCAACATTAAGGACATTCTCCTCATCATAATCTACAATATTGCATCAATATGCAGCTTCACTGACAATGAAAGAAGTGATGGTACTCTGAATGATATGTAGAAATCAGAATCAGAATACCTTTATTAGTCCCACAGAGAGGAAATGTACTTTGTTACAGCAGAAAAAGAGCCAAAAACAGCTTAATGTTACGTAGAAGCATGCATAAAAAAGTATTAAAGTAAAACAAATAACAAAATTAGAATATAATAAAGAAATGGGTTTGCATGTTAAAATGCGTTTTGAATTTTAGCATTGTATGTGTTCACATGATGATAAGCAGCAATATAAATAGTTACTGGTTATATATAGTATATCAGAGATCCTCTTATACAAAAGGTAAAATACAAACATTGTTGTTTGCGTCAAAATTCTCTATTCTGGTTTTTACTTTTGTGAAATTATGCATATTTTCATGGATCAACCACAATATTTAGCTTGAGGATTAACTTTCATAATGATGATGTTCCTTCCCAGGGATGTCCCCTTTATATGATGTTATGGAGTGTGTATATCTTGTTTTGTTTGATAAAAATCCTGTCATGGAAAAACACTTCATAGTAGAGAATATGACCTAGAGGTTTCACTTATTTAAATATGGAAACTTAACATACCAGCTGAATTGTATGTTTAAGGGCTTGACACTTATTTCAAATATTTTAATTAGAATAAAACTGAAAAATCATGTAAAGGCTGTGTACTTTAAAACATATTTTAGGGTCAATGTCATGGTCAAAGTAGGTCAACAAAAAGGACAATATATCATGTATGAGCTCTGCAGTCTGCACATGCGCAGAAGGGGGGCAGCGTACGTGCCGAGCTAAAGCCATTAGCTTCCTCCTTCAGACTCTCCCCGGTGTGTGTAGCTGGCTGTCCCGCATCATGTTCAGAGCCGCCGTCCGTCTCTCGGTCTCCGGTGTCCGGAGTATCACCCGTACACAGCCGGGATGTCAAGGTATGTGCTCATTTTTAAATGTAATTTTGTAACTCTTAAAATTATCCAGGCTGAGCCGGAAATCATGTGTGTCCTCACGCCTGAAATCGCTAGCTGTAGCTAACCGGTGCATCTACCAAAAAACACACCGAGATGTCAAATCTGACCATGTTTTACTTAGGTTAATTAATCTTTCGTTCAATACTAGCAGTACCCAAACACTCTGAGTAAAAGCTGCTGTGAAAATGTCCCATTGTTGGGCTTGGTGGTGTCTGTGTCCTTGCTTTGACCCAGTCGGTGAGGCTAAGCCCGGGCCTGTGGTTCTTCTGCTGATGCTAGCTAACTTGCTAACTTCTTGTTAAGCCTTCTATTCACCACAGCGTTATTGATATAAATGTACGATGATTGCAGAGGTGTGAGAAGTACTCAGATCTTGTGCTTGAGTAAAAGTAAAAATATCAGAATGTAGGAATACTCTGTTACAAGTAAAAGTCCTGCAATCAATATGTTACTCAAGCAAAAGTACTAAAGTATTAGCATCAAAATATACTAGAAGTACCAAAAGTATAAGTACTAATTATGCAGATTGGCCCATTTCTGCACAATATAGATAACATGTTTTGATTATAATTATTGGTGCATTAGAGTGTGATCAAATCTGTTAAAGGTAGAGCTTATTTTAATTGCTTTGTATACTGCAGGGTAGCTTGTGTAGTTGTGGATTGAAGTAAAAGTCCCTCAAAATTGTACCGCTCTGATTTCTACACCTGAAGTGTATTTACAAAAACAATAGCGGAAACATAAATGTCCTGTCTGTGTGTCAGACTGCATTCCTGCTGGCAGGTGTAGCGGCCAGGTCATATAAGGGCGCTGGAAGAGAGCCAGCTGCATCACATTGCTCTAAAAAAATCGTCCTTATTCCCCTTCACTCAGTGTAGATGCATGCTCTTGAGTGTATTTGCCCTTCTACGCTACCTTACACAAGCTGTCATTGTGAATGCTTTAAAAGGAGATCACTATTTCCATGTTTTTTCACATTATGTGTATCATTTTGGTTTGTTATGGCATGTTGGACACACACACACACATTGCACATCAGAGTTTTTCGAATGGAGGGATGTTTGAGAAGTATTCACTTATTCGAAGTAAGGTAATCAATGACAGAGGGTGTTGTATGCTGGACAAATTGCAAAGCCTCGCGAAGCAAATGTGTGACATGAGCTTATATAAATAAACTTGACCTAACCTGATATGTTAAAAACTGTTTACATCACACAGCTCTTTTGGCCTCGAGGGGTTACTCGCATGGGAAGCAGGAGACGGACGAGGAGTTTGATGCCCGCTGGATCACGTATTTCAACAAGTCAGACATTGATGCATGGGAGCTGAGAAAAGGTAGGTTTGATAGTTTGAAAATAAATCTGTGAGGATGACTGCCTAAGGAAGATATTACAAGAGAAATGCCTTACTTTGATAACACCGTTAGTTTTTTGCTTATTATTACTCAACACAGTTCACAGTATCATGTATTGTAGTGAGATTAATAATGTGCAAGCATTATGAAATATCAACAAGCTTGCTTATTTTATTTCCATAAGATTAGCACTTATTTTGTGAATGAGCATAGTAGCGTATCATTTGATGGGAGTAACAGCTCTTATTCAACACTAGAGCCCGCTATCATTGAAAGGTTTTTAATACGAGTGCAAACTTGTTTAAAAAATAAACCAAAACAATATATTTCCATTACCCCGTTTGTGAGGAATGTACACATGTTGTTCTACTAAACACTTTTTTATTTGAACGAAACAATTCCTAACTTGTCAAATTAGCTTTCAATGTGAGCTGTCAGTATTTTGCAGTTTCCAAGTACATCAGGCTACAGACACCTGTTTGTTGGTACCAAAACCTGTTGAGATGTGAAACCTGGCCAAAGTCAAAGCAATGCTTCCCCTACCATTCTGATTGGTTATGGCCATATCCCTGTAAGAACATGTGAAGGCAGCACACACTTCTTAATAATGATTTTGTAATGTGAACTCTACAACTACTATTGTGGCAACAGAATATAAAATTATGACACTGTCTCTGAGTGTTTTTAAGAGCCGGGCAGGTTTTATAAGATGATAAGCCTACAGACACATTAACCCTGCACTTCCTGCATCGTATTTCATCCTCCTGGTGGTACCTGAGGTGTCACAAATTATTTCAATGCAGGGCTATTTTAGGTCTGAATAGAAAACACACAAGGGAATAGATGTTTTGGAAAGTGAAATGGGGAACGGCTCATTGATCAGGCTAGAAACATGTGGAAATGCCTCTGTGGTCTCCGAATGGTTGAACGTATACAGGAAGTAGTGTTAGAAATGTGATTGGTTTGCAGTTTCACATTGAAAACATTCATAGGCTAATCTTGTACATTCAAGAGTATTTTGAAGTTGATCTATGTATATAATATGTTAATTTAGTACTCAGTAATTTCCCTGTCTGTGGCTCGGACCACTCATGTACACCTTTTTTTTTTTATACAGATCACTAATGTAGAGTTTCATTGTTAAAACAAGCCAAGTAATTTTCTACAACTGCGGGCACTGTCGGTTTTTAAGCAACTCATTATTGAGTTAACATTGCAATATTCTTTTTCATTGTTATAAAGAAATATGTGGGACAGTAACTGTGTGCCTAACTTACAGATAAATACGATACAAGTGATGAAACGTTTACTACAGATAAAAATACTTTTTGGTAGAATCCATTTATTTTTGGTTTTGGTCTTTTAAGAGGTTTTCCTCAAATATGCAGAGTATGGCTGGCCTCAGGAAAGAAATTCAGCGTATAGTAAAAGTGTTAATTTCCTCACTGTTCTCCAATTTACCAGTTGTAATTCCTTGTTTCAGGGATGAACACACTGATTGGTTATGATCTGGTACCCGAGCCAAAGATAGTGGAGGCAGCTCTGAAAGCCTGTCGGAGGCTAAACGACTTGGCGAGCGCTATCCGAATTTTGGAAGCTGTGAAGGTGAGAGATAAAGGGCACCTTCTGTGTTTAATTCAGGGAATATTGCCAACCAGCATCTTTGCAGCTGGAGGACTTGAGTTAATGAATAATGACCGTTTGACATTTCCTCAGGATAAAGCCGGCCCTCATAAAGATATCTACCCGTATCTGATCCAAGAGCTGAAGCCAACATTAGAGGAGCTTGGCATCTCTACACCTGAGGAGCTTGGCATTGACAAAGTGTAGATGAGTAGGTATTCAAATTCTCTATTAAGTCATGTTTTTCCCCTACCCATTTTGTCATACAAGTGCAATCTAACATAAATGTTTGTTTTATTTCAGATCTAATGACGGTGGATATCCCCAGGACACAGAACCCCTGACCCAAACTGTTTGCCCTACATGATACCTGTGATATTTAATTGGGCCTTTTATTAAGTTCTTTTGCTTGTAATATATTCATGAATCTAATAATAAATTAGAGTGAGGGTTAGTGAATACTTTGGGATATTTTAAACAGTTTGAGTACTTGAACCATTACACTCTATTCATTACAAGTTGCTTTAATGTGGAGCAGCACTTCTCTGGTGGAGTGTGTCCGGGCATCATGTGACAGTCACAGTTTGCCACCAGGGAGCAGTGTTTTCACATGAATGTCAAAATCATTCTACTGTATCAATCTATATTGCATCTGTTTTCATTTCAGGGAAGATTTAATTGCTTGTAAAATAAAGGTGTTAACATGTCAGATGCTCTTTTTATTTTATTATTCACACAACTGAAATATCACACTAAGGGAGCCTAAATATGACATCTAAAAATGATTTTGAAGTTTTTATTTTAATTTTATTGAGGATCAGGCAATTCTAACACTCAATGGACCCTGATAGATTATATGTGTATTGGCGAGTTGTGTTTATATTTTAGATGAAAGGTACCTTTTGTATAAGGTTAAGCAAAACATACTTACAAGGTGTATTGGTTAAACTGAATAATAGGCTTCTGCTAAAGAAAGAAAGTAGTTGGACAATTTAAAATGTTGCCAATTTTCTCTTTCTTTTTGAGCAAAGTTGTAACCTGAATCTATGGCAATTATTCGTTTTAGTAAAACTAGTGCAAGAAAATTCAAATGTTTTAAACAAGTCAAAGGTTTTAAGAGTAGTGCTCCTAGTGTCCTCCTAAACTTGGTGAAACAAATAGTAATTTTTGCCATTTTCTTCATCTCTGATACTAGATCAGAGACTAGAGATTTATAAACAAGTGCAATTAAAACGTGTGACTAACTGGATAAAACAGGAATATATCCTGTGTTAATAGATATTGTTCTTGCATTTATTCCTGTCAAAAAGACACTCACACATGTTGGGTAACACTTTACCTAAACAAAATATCAAAGGCATGATTTGTAGTCGATTTCAGAACATACACACTATACAATTTGTTAGATTAGTGTATTATTTGAACTATTTTAGCTTAATTGAAGTTAAACCTTTGGTTAAAATAATGGTCCCCCTGGCAGATCGCCACAAACCCCACTATCAGATTCACTCTGTTATTTGCTGTTTGAATAAATTATGTGATTTGTTTTTAAATTGAAGAGTCTAAAACTCTCAGAAAAAACCTCTTGAGCTTAATGACAGACTGAAATTAATTTTTTGACTTTAGTTTTTGCTCCTATCCTGTAATTAATCCTGTCATGTCACCCCCATCTGCTCAGTCTTTTTATAGAGTGGGTGGGAGTCACTTTAACCAAGATTTCCATAACTGTCACATGTGGTATTTGGCTGTTTAAAATAGAAGCAGATGTAGATGCTTGCATTTAGAATCAGCTTTCTTGCCAAGCAAAATATCCCTATGTATACTGTTTAAGCTCCAATAAACCAACTATTACTGATTAAGTTAATCTTACTGCAATACATATTATTTAATGTCAGTTATTTTGAAGATAGACCAAATTGTGGAAATGTAAAATATTACATCTGCAGTCCCTGAAGCAGATTACATTTGACAGCCAGTTCTACACGTCTTCTGTTAATCCTGCCTCAAAGAAAAAAGCAGAGTAACTAATGAACCATGACTTTACAGCCAGACTTAATTTCCATGCATGTGTTCTGCTGTGAAATGTAACCAAACAGGCAGCCGTGAAAAACAAACAGTGTCTGTGGTGTAGAGGTCAGCCCCAGTTTACAATGTTAATGAATGAGCTCCACATTCAGAGGTGGAATAAGTATTTAGAACTTGTACTTAAGTACAATTAGAAGTACAGAGTGTAGGAATACTCCTATAGTCATGCAATAAAAATTGTACTCAAGTAAAAGTAGAAAGTATCAAAGTATACTTAAAGTACCAAGCGTAAAATAAGTAATTATGCAAATTGTCCCATTTCAGAATAATATATCATGTTTTGATTATAATTATTGATGCATTAAAGGGTTTATCAAAGCTGTTAAGGTGCAGATCATTTAAATTACTTTTATACTGCAGGGTAGCTTGTGAATTTTACCCCAGGTGTAACTGAAGTCTTATTTAAACGTCGATTATATTTCACATCAATAATCCAAATCTGAGTAATTCAATGTATTAAATAAATGTAGTGGAGTAAATGTACACGATTTACCTCTTTATTGTAGTTGAGTAGAAGTAGAAAGCAAAAAATTGTAGTACAAATACCTCAAAATTGTAGTTAAGCACAGTACTTGAGTAAATGTACTAAATGTAGTTCCCCTACCACTGTCCAGATTACATTTCGTATTTATTTATTTTCTGAATAGAGGTCGTGTTGCCTCAATAAAATCACACAAGTGTATAAAGGATAATAGCAGTGGGTGGGATTTCCGTGTGAAGTGGGAGGGTAGCTCCACAGAAATGCAGGGAAGAAACCCCTCTTTACGAGCTTTACACACGGGGCGGGCCTTTCATTCATGTGAGTTGGGGGTGTAGGCCACTCAGTCAAAGACAATCAGAGATGTTTGAGTTTCCATGCGCAGTGACCAGGGAGGTAAAGCGCACAGCAGTTTACCCCTCCTCCAGCTTCGACCTTTTTTTCGGCCTCCACAACCACTAAATCACACTTGATCCGAGCAAGCTTTTTCTGATTAAAAGGAAAACTGGTCATGCGACGCGATTTATTCCTGCCCGAGGGAAGAAGGAAAAACTAGATACGACCTGTTGGCGATGATGGATTACTCGAAGGCGCAAATGGTGAGTGTCGACGACTGCTGGGCTTCGACCCGTGTTTCGTGTTTGTTACAGTAACAAAGCAAATGGCGATTAATGTAATCGTTTTAGGAACATTTGCACGCTTTCAAAAGCCGTTTCGCTTTGGTTATTAGGAGTGTTTTTGTGATTATCAGTGTAGTCCGTGTGTTCGGGTTGATCTGCACTGGGAAATTGTTGTTTTCCCATTAATAAAATCGACTTGTGAAAAAAATCCCGAGTTCTTGCATATTTAAGTAGCTTTTAACAAACTGAGGATACAGGGATCTAAGTGAGGAGCATTTTGCATCCTGCTACTAATTTATTCTTAGTTTATCATGATTTTTCCTGTACATTTTCTGTTAATTATGGTCTCAAACCATCAAGCTTTGTTTCCCTTTAATCCACATATGCTGGGCTTTCTGGGCCCGAGACAGCCCCCCTCTTTTGAAAAGTTTCAATTTACCATGTCAATTTGTTTTTATCAGAAGATAAATATACATAGGTTTGTTCAGACAATATAGTGTTTAAACAACAATCTGGGAAACAAATAATTAGCCTTTTTTATTTGTTGAATACATTTTTCCATTAACATTGGATACATTTCTGCAGCATTTATTGCAAAGCACCCAATCAAACATTTCCCCAATTAATTTTGAGATTTGATTTGTTTTTCTGTGCATAGTCAAGCTTCACTGAGGAGGGGAATTCAGCTGGGTTTCCTCCGCCTGGTAATGCTGGGGTGAAGCTGGAGGCGGTGATGGAGCAGTTGCAGAGACAACAAGAGGCCAAACTGGGGATGAATCTGCAGGAGAAACATCTTCTTCACGCCCAGCTCCTCTTCGCCCAACACGCTGCTGCAGCCAGGGCCTCTGGCTCCAGACTAGACCCCGCATTATTTGGCAAACCAGATGGACAGACTTATCTGGCAGCTCAACAGGCTTACACCAGCAGAATAGATCCAGATGAGGAAGATGAAGACTCAGATGAGGAGGAGCAGGAAATGGTGGGGCCTGAAGGGAATGATGACATGGAGGAAGATGACGATGATGAGGAGGAGGAGGAGATGGGGGACGGGCCTCATCCACAGGCGAAGAAGCCGTGTCTCCAGCAGGTTCCTGGCTTCCCCTTCGCTCCTTATCCCACACCTCAGGTGTCCGCTGTGAAGCAAATGTCCCAATCTCCTCCTCCAGTAGCAATAAAAGAGGAGCAGGAGGAGACGGAGCTGCTGTCTCCTGCAGGACAACAGGCCTTCACCTCGCCCAATGGCTTCGCTGACTGGGGCTTTGATGAGTCGTTCAAACAAGTAAGTTACCTTTGATTTAACTGCATGAATAAAGGCCATATTGTTGTTCTACGCTGTATTGTTTTCTATATTTGGTAGTGAGGTGTTTCTCTTTAAAAGATACAGATATATCCAAAATAAAAACTCTTTCCACTGTTGGATATATTCTAGTGATTATAACTCCATTCTGATGTAGTCTCAACAAGAGAAAACTGTATCTGTACAGAGTCAATTAACTTCTGTATCTCTCCATGATACTTGTGTGTTCCAATTCCTATTAATAATTCTTGACTTCTTCCTGCTGTGTCGCCTCCTGCGCTCTCACACATGTGGGGGGGGGGACGTTTCCTATTGGCAAAATGCCTGAGTTTGATAGTGTTGAATTACTCGGTAGGCCAGAGATCTCTCCCTCTGCTATAGCTTGTGTCTCACACTTCAGAAAACACACCCTCGCCACCTACTGAGCTAATTGGTCTTGGCTGTGGTCCAATCCTAACTGCTCAAATCAGGCCTGACAGGGATGAAGTTAAAATGAGAGCAGGGGATTAATGAAATCGCCTCAAGCGTGTATTTATGGCTTCAAAGGTTAACTACTGTAAGGAATTGCAGGGTAGGGGGTGGACTTTTCTCTCACTGTATCAGACAGATCTCCTCTAGATGAGGCCCAAAGCTAGTATTTACGAGTATGTTTTCAACAGATATGTTATAGGAAACAGAGGCTCCCGTCAGAGACTTTTTCTACAAGCAGCCTATGTGATTGGTTGTTCTGTATGTCTTTCCCTTAAAAGGCCCCACTTCAATACAATACATTATGATTAATGAGGCCTGTGGCCAGAGGACAGCTGGGTTAGTGCCTCACAGCATACCAGCAAGCAACTACCCATAAAGTTGACTTACAGTAGTTTCAGTGGAGCAGAATGGGCTTTTTGATATTTGTTTGAGTTTTACGCATCATTTTCTTTGTGATACCTCACATTTATTTGTGTGCCCTCCTTGTTGCCCTCCTTGTGGTAAATATTCTCTATGATTTAAAAAGGTTATGTGTACATAAGGCCCTTCTAAAACCTCACAGGCTCACAAACCTTGCTGCTGACCGCTCAGTGGATAGCTCTGCATAATTTAACCGTTGCCTGGCAACACTTAATGGCAGCTTAATTCAACTGCCAGTAATCAATACATTATATGGCCACTGTAGTGAGAATTGCATTTCCTTTTGTCAGGCCAGCACACAACACCTGGGGCAATGAAGAGCATTTGTCCCGTTTTA